ATATAACAAATACGTTCATCACGTGCAACTAAAATGTTTTAGGTGACCGTACAAATCAGTATCATTTTCGTATTTCTGTTTGTTTTTTTCGAATTTCGCGCAAAGCTACACGAGGGCTATCTGCGCCAGCCGTCCCTAAGTTAGCAGTGTAAGACTAGAGGGAAGGCAGGTTGTCATCACCACCCACCGCCAACTCTTGGGCTACTCTTTTTACCAACGAATAGTGGGATTGACCGTCACATTATAACGCCCCCACGGCTGAAAGGGCGAGCATGTTTGGTGTAACGGGGATTCGAACCCGCGACCCGCAGACTGCGAGTGGAGCGCCCTAACCACCTGGCCATGCCGGGGTAAGAAATATTCATCTTTATTACGAAATAAACATTTCACCCAAAGAACACTCTACGACTGAACAAATAGAACTTAGATCACTTTAACGGTGTTTGTGAATTTATTTGTTAAGCACAAAGTCCGTGTCCTGCCCGCCTTAGGGATCGAATTTTAGCATTATAAGCTCTCAAGCTTACCGCGGAGTAACTTGCGAACACTTTACAGTGAATTCTAAATTTCTTTATTAAATAATGTTTCCCGTCACTACCGCTCATGCAACGCAATCTTTGAATAGAGTTATTTAAACATTTGTTTAACAACAAGTAAAAGCTTGAAATGGTCTATTCTTTCATTGGGGGTGTGTCTGTGGGCCAGACTAATTCTTCAAATACCTATAGAATGATGGGTTTCTTTTTTGTAAGTGTAAAACATTTAAATACACCATTTCGAACGCAATCTTTGGTCTAAGACTAACAAGAGACAAAACCACAGACATTTTTATGTAAAGTAAGCATATTTATTCGTTTCCCAACACTACAGCAAAAATCAAAGATATGTTTTTCTATAAAGTACACAACTGTATTTGTTTAAAGCACACACGCTAGGTCTAGGTATAGTTCTTAATTATGTAAACAAAGTAGTATTGATAGCGACATATAAATTTTTTGTTCTCACCTACGGCACAAATCCTAGCTCTTCGTTTGTGATGGCCAGGTGGATAGGGGGCGCTCGACTCGCAGTCGACGGGTCGCGAGTTCGAATCCCCGTCACACCAACATTGCTCACCCTTTCAGCCGTGGGGGAGCTATAATGTGACGCTCAATCCCACTATTCGTTGGTAAAAGAGTAGCCCAAGAGTTGGCGGTGGGTGGTGATGACTAGCTGCCTTCCCTGTGATCTAGCACTGCTAAATTAGGGACGGCTAGCGCAGATAGCCCTCGCGTAGCTTTGCGCGAAATTCAAAACAAACAAACCAACAATCGTTTGTGACATGATTTTTGGACTTTCAATCAGATTTGCAGCTTTTAAGCCCTTAGTGCATATGTGACACATAGCTTCTAAGTCCTTACAAGTGACACACTTCGGAACATTTCAATTATCCATACCATCTAGATATAATCTGTGACACGTAACTTTTAAATTCTCATAACTTACACACAAATTCTGGACACCTTTCAATGATTCACAACATCTAGATGTGACACAAAAATGATAGATTCTTACAAGTGACGCACAACCTAAACAAAGTGGCACACTGCTTACTTGTGAGACATAGCATTTGGAACCCTTTGATCATGAGTGACACACAACCTGATAAAGTGACACAAAGAACCTACCTGTGGAGAGCATCTCTCATATTCCGAAATCTCCCGTCTGCAGCCACTAGTATTTGTAACTTGTCTATTGTCTGCTTGCTCTAATAAAAAAAAACATCAACAAAATGCTGTTTCTTCTCCATTAACTTTATAATTTCTTTAACAGAAAACTTTTCAATTACAGAACGAACGTAAATGCGTGATACCCTGCAGCGTAAACATATTTTATAGAGGGAACTGTATTAATCTAATAAATAAAATTACAATAGTATGTAGCAAGATAATCCAGGACTAGGAGTGAAAATTAAAAAAAAAAACACGAGAAAAAAACATATCTAAAAATATAATATTACGAAAACAGACTTATATTTAGTACCAATATATTCATGAATATTTATAGGTTTAAAAACATCAAATTTGAAAGCCGTTTTTGTTTTTCTGCTTTGATATTCTTCTTAATTTCTAATGTACAAGCTCTTTAATTAAAGTTTCAAACAGAACATGGTCTTGAATAATATTATAATCTAGCGCCATCTTGTGAGATTATATATTAATAAAAATAAGTAATCAGTACCACTTTAACAACAACGCTAACCAAAGTGATTTTCACGCCCTTCCTTTTTCATAGCGCAGAAAATAAAAGTATCACAAATAAACGAATTATGTAACTAATTTTGAATAAAATACAAACATTCAAAAGTTTGTCATTTCATAGGTGATTTATGACTAACCGAAATGACAATACTTCGTAAGAAATGTGAGGCATATAAACGTGGTTTTGAAGTTAAAAAAGAACACTTAAACGATATTGATACTTATAATGCTAAGGACATTGTTTTAATTCTTTTAGTCGTGATATCTCTTGACAAATATAAACCGTTCTTACACCATAAATTAAAATTGAAGTTAAAAAAGAACACTTAAACAATATTGATACTTATAATGCTAAGGACATTGTTTTAATTCTTTTAGTCGTGATATCTCTTGACAAATATAAACCGTTCTTACACCATAAATTAAAATTAATTACATGCTTTTTTGGTGGATTTCGAAATGCGTTAACTAAAGTCACGTAAATGAGTAAAAATAGATGTAAAATTAATGTTGCATAACAAGATCAGCAGTATCTTAGTTTTCTAGGTTAAAATTCAAACTTGTAGTTTCATACTTTACTAGCAGTATCTTAGTTTCCAGGTTAAAACTCAAACTTGTAGTTTCATACTTTACCAGCAGTATCTTAGTTTCTAGGTTCAAACTCAACCTGTAGTTTATACTTTATCAGCAGTATTTTAGTTTTCTAGTTTAAAACTCGACCTGTATTTTTATACTTTACCAGCAGTATCTTAGTTTCTAGGTTAAAACTCAACCTGTATTTTTATACTTTACCAGCAGTATCTTAGTTTTCTAGGTTAAAAGTCAAAGTTGTAGTTTCATATTTTACTAGCAGTATCTTAGTTTCCAGGTTAAAACTCAAACTTGTAGTTTTATACTTTACCAGCAGTATCTTAGTTTTCTATGTTAAAAGTCAAAGTTGTAGTTTCATATTTTACTAGCAGTATCTTAGTTTCCAGGTTAAAACTCAAACTTGTAGTTTTATACTTTACCAGCAGTATCTTAGTTTTCTAGGTTAAAACTCAAAGTTGTAGTTTCTACTAGACCTACAGTATCCTAGTTTCTACTAGACCAGCAGTATCCTAATGGTTAGTGGTTAGGTTAGAACACAAGTCTGTAATTTGTAACCATACCGTTTTAGATACTTTTTCCCACGTTTTCTTTAGCCGAAAAACGGAGCTGTTCATAAAAGCTGAAATTATCTGAAGTACACCGTTAAAATTGTGGAGACACCGGCAAATATCAGCCACAGTGGCCCATTTCTCAATGATACACACCCTTCTTGACATCTCGGGAGCTCCCATAATTTCCGACACAACCAAACGATTCATCTATAACGTAGAAAGATGTATCAACCAATAGGAATTCTTCACGTGGTACGTAAAAATACTATCAACCAATAAGACATGCGTTTTCACTGAACTTAACTTATTTCAACCAGTCATGATTCAGTCGTCGCTGTAGCCAACAGCTTATAGATCTTAAGTTAGTCAACATCGATTCAGTTCTAGAAACTTTCTATGTTAAAACTCAAACTTGTAGTTTTATACTTTACCAGCAGTATCTTAGTTTTCCAGGTTAAAACTCAAACTTGTAGTTTCATACTTTACCAGCAGTATCTTAGTTTCCAGGTTAAAACTCAAACTTGTAGTTTCATACTTTACCAGCAGTATCTTAGTTTTCCAGGTTAAAACTCAAACTTGTAGTTTCATACTTTACCAGCAGTATCTTAGTTTCTAGTCTAGAACACAAGCTTGTAGTTTTATACAAGTGATTATCTTTTGAAACAGAAAATAATATATATTTAATAAAAACAACAACAACAAAACATTTTATTACATGATACGAGCTGCTATTAAACACTTTAAAAACTGTATCAATAGTTACCAATACAACATGACTTGTTATTAAATCATTACTCATTATCGTGTTAACATCATCATACTTCAATATAAGATGACCTCCCATAACTAGATCTTCCTGACATCTTTACTCATCATAATATTATACAAGTTAGTATCACTATTCTTTAGTATAAGAAGTTCTTACATGATTAAATCTTCTAGTCATCAGTATGATGTTAGGAGCCTTAAATGTCTTATCAGCTTTCATCCACGCCTGGCCGAGAAATTCCCTCGAAAAAACAAAAGTAACGTAAGTCGTCATAATAAACTAAGTATTCCTTAAACAACTCTGAACGACGTTATTTTTATAAACTTTAACACCAAGTCGAGAGAAATTGTTATTTGTTAATGTTCTATCATAATATATTTATAGCACCAAAAACCAGGATTCGATACCCGTTGTGGACACAACATAGATAGCCCACGTGTATATTTGTGCTTAAGAAACACTTGCGCATATAGGAAGCTTTAAACTGTTAACCAATTAAAATGCTTGTTTGATCATTTCTAGCGAAACTACACGAAGGTTATCTGCGCATGTCCGTGATTATGTTATTTTGTTTTATCACTTCAAAGAATTTTAAGCAGTTTCACGTTTTAACGGAAATGCTAAACTTAGCTACCAGTCTACAAAACAATAACAACTCGTCGTTGAATCAAACATATTACCAGTACAGTAGTAGACTTAAAACAAGACCCCAAAACTCGAGCGCGCCCGAAACGAAGGCTTAACTTATTCAGG